GCTGCACACCATCTTTGTGGTTTTTTTCATTATTATTGTCATGGAAACAACTGCTGAGCGCAAACAGAAATTGGACTTTCTCTCTCTCCCCTCCATGACGGGCATTACATTACACATGTTTCAGATGTTGTCAGCTGAAAAAAAATGGGAAACAACAGGGTCAGCAGTCTTGTCTCTTTGGAGAGTAAGGAGCATATAAGGTCAGCTGACTTGAGTTGGTTAAAGTGAACTCAAGTCACAAAAATGACATTAACAAAATCCAAATGTAACAGATGTTAAATGTCCCAATAATCATTTCATGTCTATATTTAAAAGTGTATAAAAAATGAACGCTTAACAGATTAATGGATGTGTGCCCAGCTCTGGCAGTTAGGGGGAGCTTACGCCCTGGCAAGTGGCAGACAGCTGCGTAGACACAACTTTTCAGTGGCATTGTTTATAAGTAGTTTAACCGACAAGTAATGCTGGTGGCGATGAGAAGGGATATAATGTTTAGGGCTTGTGTCTATTAATGCCGCTTTTGCCGTGGCAGCGCCCGTTTTCTATACAGAAACCAAGGCAGTTCTCGTTTTTAGCTGAGAAGAGTCTTCAGCACCAAAACACCCTGAACTTCATCTGGTTTTGTCACTGCCCTAACAAGCTGATCAAAATAAAGAAGAGGGCAGAACTTATAGAATAACTGTCAACAACAATGACGATAGAGAAACTAATTAGCCTTGTCTATTCAAGGGTTTAGTTCCCAGGTCATGAAAGGACACAGGGCCTTACCGTAATCGTTTAGTGGGCTAATCTTTCTGCTTTACATGTAATAAAAACTTTCTTATCTTTGTTTTTTTTATGTCTGAAAACAGAAACCCTGATACGGTTAAATCTGTGAGGATATCGTCCAACTAGAATTAGTCAGGTGCTAGAGTGTCACACTAAATATCTCTTGTGCTTCTTGCATGTTTGTGTTTGTGTGTGTGTGTGTGGCTCTTTCTTCTTTATAGCTGTCAGTAGCGGTGTGTATTGGCTTCCTGGGTGCGTGGAGCCCATATGCAGCTGTGGCCATGTGGGCTGCATTCGGAGACGCCACGCTTGTTCCTCCCGAAGCGTTCGCCCTCGCTGCTGTGTTCGCCAAATCTTCTACCATCTACAACCCCGTGGTCTACCTGCTGTGCAAGCCAAACTTTCGGGAGTGTCTCTACAAAGACACGACCATGTTACGACAGAGGATCTACAGGGGGAGCCCGCAGTCAGATCCCAAGGAACACTTTGGATCGCAGCGTAATAAGGACACGAGCATCTCCACACGCTTCTCAAATGGACAGCAGGAGAGCTATGGGGCGTGTCTGCACTGCTCTGAGAACGCCGGGATGTGTCATGTGACCACACCCCAAAGGACTGCGTGCATCCTGACCGGGTCCACCTACAGAGAGGTGACAGTGAACAGGCTCTCAGTCACACCACAGGCTGATTTGCTCTAGTGGTCCAATGTCCTTTTTGCATGAAGCCAATAAAGACAGGGGCTCAGAAACAGAGACAACTGAGAAGATTTACCACAGAATACTTGATATCTACTTTTGAGTCAGCGTGTTTCAATTTTAATTTTTTATGTACAGTTATTCTAAAGATGGATTCTGAAGGAGCAGAAAATGAGATCTGAGAACCCCTGCTGGCTTTGAGGTTCATTAGGCAAATGTGTGACATTTCAAAGCTACTCATCATCTTCTGCACACAGCAGGAATATCCTTTTTTTTATGAGGATAAATCTTGTTAACATCTGGCCAGTGCAAACTAAACATATTTCAAAGACAGAAATTGTACCGGATTGTAAAGGAGATGGTTCATGGTCTGTCCTGTGAGTCCTACAGATTTGTATGTAACTAATTAAAATCCAGTTCTGTTTGGACATGTGTACCTGATGTTTGACATCCTGATGGTGTAAATTACATAAGAGTGGTACCAAACAAAAAATTAAGAATTCAGCCCCTGTAGGCTTCAGGCTTTCCTGTACGTTTTGTCCTTGTCACTGCTGGAATTCATTCAAACCGAGACATTCAATCAAACAGACAGCTGCTCTTTTCAGCAACGAGTCAAAAAAACAACTTGCACCCTGTTCAGGTCTACAGGGGCAGAGCGTTTGATACTAAAACAACATTTTCATCAAGTATCACTTTAGTTTAGAGGCTTGTACATTATGAGGCAATACTAACACAACACTGCAGGCATTTTCCTACTCAAGAAAGATGGACAAAACTGCAAAAACTGAGTTGGACACTGACCAAAAAAAAAGGGACAACAGTTTAATTTCACATTATATTATGGTAACAGCTTTGGAAGAAATTTGGACTTCATCCCAGTTAAAGTTACCTAAAGTTTCTCTCTTACGCACCACGTCTGTCCACTTGACCTCATTAGTCTAATCTGAACATTGGCACCATTAGATTCATACTAAACTGACCACTCTCTGTAAAGAAAACACAGTGACTAAATCATCTATGAAACCTGTAAATATAGGACTATATCACAGGACTTTTCGAAATAGAAAAATTCTCCTGTTGAGGAAACAGGACTAACAAAAGACAGTGTTGTATTTATTTTTTTTTATACCAACAGAAAAGAGGATTTATGCAGCCCACAGCGGTGGAAATGTTTAAAGCTCCTTAAGTTACTAACTGATGTTTCAAATATTTTTGAAATTGTGTTTTTTAATAAGCATACACTGTATTAAGTACAAACAAAGGTATATATCTATTATTTTTAAACATATAAGATAATAGATGTTCTTGTGTTTGTCTACTACTCCTTGTTGTATTATGCTAATATTTATGTGCAATTAATGTCAAAACAAGGACAACGACCAAAATAACGGACTCTTTGGTTTGAAGTCATTTCTACTATTAACCATGTCTAAACCTGCACACGTGTATAAAAGACCAACAATTAATCTTTCCCCAAAAAACAACAACAGCACTTTGCTATAATGAATGCCCCCTTCCTTTTTTAAATGTGGTTCTGTGCTGTGTTGCTTCATGTATGCAAAATAGTCACACACAAAAAAACTGTATGGTGATATCACTATTGAAACCAATTCTTGTGCAGCCTTATTTACTAATGAAATAAAAACATGGAAGAAAGGTTGTTGCCTGATTTTCTGAATGATAGACAAGATAGCTAGGACTCAACAATCTACAAACACTTTTCAGGTTAAAAGAAAGAATCTGGATGTGGTCTAGCGTCATTTCCCATTACACACACGTCAGGATGAAAATGTTTAATGTAAAAAATACAGGGGGAATTGTGAATGCAAATGATGTCACACTATATCAACTGAATCCTTTAAGCTTTATACTTTTAAGATTTCAAACATGTTTTATGATCTACAAAAAATAATTAAAAAAAGGTCTATGTGACTTCAATTTCCCCCTCAGTTTAATTATCTGGACCCAAGTGTTGCTTTGAAGACATAAATCATTAACTGTTGGGCAGACTGGGTTGAAATCCACTGCTGAATTCATTTTCTTCAAAGGTTGGTATTGAAATTATTAGAAGCACCTTGGTTTGGTCTCTGCTTAAAATTCCTCAGTTGGTGTGCATCACTTCAAGCTGCACGAATCCAATCTCCCCCTTTCTTCTTAAAAAAAAAAAAACAAAAAAAACATCTACATCTAAGTAAAGAAAAAAAAAGTACAAGATGGAAGTGTTTAAAAAAAAATCAAACCAGGGACAACAGTTATGACATGAAATAGCTGCTGAATTGTATAAATAAAAACATGCATCATGTACATTTTCGTCCACATGAAGGGACATTTGATTTTTTTTTTTTTTTAACTACAACATTCATTACCTTAAACAAAAATGATCATAACCGTTGAAGAGATGTTTAAATAGATGTGACAACCTTCATCTCTATTAAAGGACTGCTATACTTCAGTTTTCATCCAACCTTATCATATCTTTGTTTTCCCACTGAGGCAGCTTTTTTTCAAAGGGGTGTTTGTGAGCACACTGACCAAAATCATGATGACAGCAAAGCCACAGCTGGGGGGTTCACAACCCTTTGAACACAATACATGTGCATCTAAAGCTCAAATAAGAAAGCAGTGGAGTTTAAAATCTTTTTTTTTTTTTTTAAATAACAATCACCTATCTGCTAAAGTGGTCTACTTCTGTCTGAGCTGAACTTAACTGGAATAAACTGAAAATAAAAAACACAACAGCAGGGAGCCCGAGAAAATGTGCATATTCAGCTCTGATATGGATGCAGTGTAATTTGTGTTTTCCCCGAGTGTAAAAAAAGGTCTTGAAGTCTTGAGAGTATGACGATAGGAAGACAACATACAGTGGGCTATAGCACTGAGACGCAGCCAGAGGAGGAAGTAAAGGAAGAGTTACTTATATGGCACACTACATTTAGAGACAGTGGCAGATTAACGATACACTGGAATACATTCAGTAGTTGTGTATCTTTGAAAACCCAAAAACAATTACAAACCTGCCAGTTTTTTTCTTGTGACTTTTGTGTATAGGATTACTCGTGTTGGACATAGTTAGCTTCTTTTCAAAAGACGGACTGAAATTTAAAGTTCACGCGATTATAATCCAATGACCCAATTCACTGTCTCACCATTACAGATGTAAGAGTTTACCGAGCACAGCATTTAAATATTCAACAGCTACAATGAGGACTGAATGCAAAATGGTAATGAATCGATGCATCGAGCGTTTCACTTCACGTCTTTTTCCCTTCTACAATTTCCCTCTTCACTCACTCACCATTGTTCTGCTTCTTAGCTTTGCATGAAACTCAAACACAGTTAACGCAAACACAGACCTACTTTGGCATGTTTAATCTGTGCCCTGAGATCGTTGCCTCATTGTTTAATTTGGGACAATTTTGATCATTTTTGTTCTTGTTCATGACAAAGAGATGATACTAAGGGATTGTCTCTGCTAGAATACAATATATGTATTTTCTATGTATAATGCTTCATTTTCTTTTGTTGGGTTTGTCTTACTTCTCTCCTGACATGTCCTCAAGTCTTCTGACAGGTTCATCTTGACATCAGGCCGACATCCTCCTGTAGTAATCAAAAAGTAGCATGTAATGATTACACTGAAATAAATTATTAAACAGATAATACATGCATACAATTTTCTGTTTAATGGGCTATTCTTACAAAACTGCAGCATGGACTTGGAGTTCACATAGTTTAGAGCTGACACCATGAGGCAGAAAAGTAAGCAGCCGTAATTTTCATTCCCTTTTTGCCAAACATTTCTTCAACTTCTCAAAATCTTTAGCTAACTTTTTTTTCTTTAAGTCAAATCTGGCAAGTTTCAAGTAATCACTATTTCTTAAAGATAACTGTGATTGGTACTGTTTACAACTGCAGTAACAGTACATATTTTTCACATGTAAGAGTTGAAAATATCTGCTATTTTCTGCCCTCATTTACTATTTCCCTTTCAGTATATTCCATGATACAAAACAATTTTATCTTATACTTTCAATTTTGCAGCTGGCTGTTTACATGTAAATAGGACTAATTAAATAAATGTTGTTTGTAGTGCTGTAATATTGGATGAAGAACTCCAAATAAAACATTACCAGAGTACAATCAAATCTATGGCATTGTCCCAATGTCTCAACAACATTAAACATCATTACTTCTCAACATTTCTGATTTTCCGAAATATTTTTTAATATCATGAATCCAACTGAAGTACACGAGTTATTTTCTTAAATTTCCATGGTTTTTTGTGGCTTCTGTGCATCCAAAAAGTCAGTTTCTCAAAGACTATGAGCTTGTGGCCTGACGCCCTCTAGTGCATACAAATGGAAACATCAGGAACCACAATCAGCTATGATAGCTTAGAACAGGGGATCCCAAACTTTTCATCCCGCGACCCCCAAAATAACGATGCGAGAGACCGGGGACCCCTTCTGTCCCTGGAAGTGATTAAAGCATAACGGTGCACACAGCAGCACGCACTAATGGGCCTATCCAAACACTGACATTAACACAACAATAAAAAATACAGCAGCCTTAAACTAATTGAACAACATTTTTGTATGTAATTTCACAATAATAGGTAAAATATGTAATTTCAAGTCATTTCCAGTTTGCATTTGTTTTTGGAAGGCAACTGGCGACCCCCCTCCGAGTCCCCCACTTTGGGAACCACTGGCTTAGAAGACTGTCTGTTTAATCCTGAAGTTATTTTTATGTACAGGATTATTTATAAAAGGAGGTTAGATAAATCTACTAACAGCCTAATCAGTCTTATCATCATGTAATGTAATCTAGTAATATACTTCTGTTTTACTCTAATATTTCAATTGTATGCAAGATTACACTTTATTTTCCATATGTTACAAGGGCAAATGTACTTTTATAAATATGAACTTATGGTTGACAACCATAACAATACATACATGTGCCCCATTTGGTAAATCAAATCACTGAAAAGATGCGTCTATTTAACTTTTACACCGGTGTTACGGTTCAATTAGCTGCCGTGTAAACTGGTGACTCGTTTCCGCATGCATTCGTAGTTGCCGTCGTTACAACCAACCGCTATTGACAACAGGATGCTGCAATTTAAACAACGTTTTTTTAATTTTCAATGTAACAAAAAAACATAAACAACATTTCATGTTTTTAAACAACAGTTAAAACTATGACAAACACGGTCGAACTGGGCTGGAGGTCGCCAGGTAATGGTTTAGCCGTAACGCCTGCTAGGTTAGAAATGTGTAGCATTTACCTGTTTTACCCTTTTATTCAACAGTAGTAGTAGTTCTTCTCGATCTTTGACACGTGTAGGTCGTAAAAAGTCTACGATAGGTATGAGTTGAGGTCGGTTATCAAATCGTACGGGACGTAATAGACATTTTGTTAGCCAATGTTTCGTAAAGTTTGGACTGTTGAAGTGAGCTCTGTGCTGTAGGTATCCTTGGCCAGATAATGACGTCACGTAAGCGGTTAGTTGTTGACGTGATTTAAAAATATTTTATTTTTTATTTTTTTAAATTATACCCTGATATCTACGTGTCTGTCGCCCACACTGAATCTCACTTATTATGTCACCCCGCGATAGTTTTCTGTTTTTGTTTTTGTTTTTTTTTCCCTTTGGCGGAATCGGTGTTTGTTTCAGCTCGAGGGGATGTGCGCGCGCCGATACGGTACTGTCAAAACGCGCCACTTTTAAAGTTAAGGTAAGCTATTAAACTGATGTAGGACTGCCTCGTTCATAATACAAATTATATCGTATTTTACTTGTTAAACTGCATTGAAACTGTTAGCAAATGTAACTAGCTGGTTGACCTTCCTGATATTTTTATGTTTAATCTAAATTGGCTGTAAAATGACTCCAGCTAAACTGCTAAAGTGATAGCATTCACTGACACTGCAGGCCTGTGGGGGATGTCAACACATTGTTGTGTTTGTCACAGGTGACAGGCAGCTATCTTTAAATGTCAACATGATGTTCTACACCCAACTCTTCACGTCCAAGCGGGGGCCTCTAGCCAAGATTTGGTTGGCAGCACACTGGGAGAGGAAACTCACAAAGGCCCATGTATTTGAATGCAATCTGGAGACAACCATCAGAGATATAATTTCTCCAAAGGTAGGTCTGAACGCATCCCTGAAATACACCCCAGCTTTGAATTTTGTCTGAGATGTCGTGTTTTGTGTGATCTTCGCAGATGAAAATTGGTTTGCGGACATCTGGTCATCTGCTTATTGGTGTGGTCAGGATCTACTCCAAGAAAGCAAAGTATCTCCTTGCAGACTGCAATGACGCTCTGGTTAAAATTAAGATCGCATTCCGGCCAGGTAAAACATCCTGTTTTGTTAATGAGCTGTATGGTTCACAACTTATGGGGCGCCGATTGTATGGTTGCACACACTACAAATAACAACAACATTCCTCCACATTTAGCCCTAAAAAAAAAATCACTTTTATTCACATTTAGAGAAAAAGATAATTTCATGGGCAAATATAAATGTTAAATATTATATCTAAATGTTAAATGTTATATATAAATGTTAAAAACACATGTCTTGATTCTAAATATTTAGCAACGATTTCTAAATATTTAGCAACGATTTCTAAATATTTAACTAAGATTTCTAAATATTTAGCTAAGATATCTAAATAAACTTTTGTCATATAAAACTGTTCATTGACGGCGAAAATAAACGTTTATATAAACATAATACAATTCGAGTTTTAACCAAGTTTGCACGTTTTTATTAAATGTAAAGTGGTTCTCCTGTGTAAATTGGGCCAAAACCTGCACTCTGAAAAAGCTTGCTGCACTTTAACACTGCAAAACTTGGCTTACTCAGCAATATAATTACAAGCATAGGAGCACATGGGATGCTGAATGTATTATACTAATCACATAAACCTGAGATTCTTGGGTTGCAAACAAATAAAAGTGATACTGTCTAAAACAGCAGTCCTGCAAAGTCCTACCTTCTTGTAGGTTTTAATTTTCCCTGTTTGTTGAACGAATACAGTTATTTGTTGTGGCTTGTGTCATTCATGCTGGTTGTATTGGGTTATACTTGAATTTGCTTCTATTATTTTTCCTTTCCTTATTTATCACAATGAGGATAGACTAAATAACAGAGCACCACCAGAGGGGGACAGACGCATAATTACCAAACTGACTTAAGTGGGGAAGGAAGCTCAATGCAAAAATGTCTATTTTTTCAATTTATCTTATGTAAAATATCACACAGACTGAATAACCTCACAGTGTAAAGTGTAGACGCACAAAAATGTGTTGACATCTGAACTAATGTGTAAGATCCTGAAGACTGAATCTCAATATTTATATAGCCACCGGATATGTCCTAAAGCCTGTAAAAGTGACAGCACACTGCCTGTAATTTCTTTCTCTATTTTTCTACATGTTTACAGAAATACATAGTAACTAACACCACTTGGTAAATGTTGTACCTATTTGTTTCTTTCTCTCTCTCTCTTTTTCAAAATCCTAGGTCAGACAGACATGCCCGTGGAGGGGCTTGAGGCCACGATAAAAGCTATTACCTTGATTGAAGATTTCACAGCTTTTGATGCCCAGCTGCCTGCTCCGAGGTACAAAGCGCTTAAAGTCTCAAAATTAAGTTTACATCCTTTAATGAGGACCATTACTGATGTGTAGTTATATTTGTTTGTTCTGGGAGTATAACTTCCCCTTTTGTTAACAATTGGATCATTCATCCTCTATGTCTTTAAGTCAAACAAACAGGTATTCTGTCCATGTCAAAATAATGTTCTCTTCCTGCTTGGACACAAGCAACAAAGATATCGTCGACCACTTTTCACTGAACCAGTGTCGAACAGAAGAAATCACTCTGAAAGAGGAATTTGGAAGTGGCTTTCTGACCTTGGTAGATTTTGGTAAGAACTACTTTTTTATCCCTACATCAGATGTGATTAAAGTTATAGCCAATGTCCCTTGTTATTGTTTTGAGGCTTTTGGTATAAATATTCATTTGTTTTGACATTAAACTTACGTGTGGATAATTATTTCATTACAGGGAGAAAAATCTGAGTAATTATGTATCTTTGGTCAACAACTCTCACAAAAAAACTCTCTCTGATGTACGTCGCTTTGGATAAAAGCGTCTGCTAAGTGAATTGTAACATTGTAAAAAGAAAATCAATATTACATTATACTTACAAATGTTTTCATGCAGACAAAGCCTGATTTATCTTAACCTTTGTTTGTATTCCATTGTTGTTATTCGTAACCTTTCCTTAGAGAACCTTTCCTTTATGTCAACAACAATAATTCATGTTTTTGGGGCTAACATATGCAGACAGGGAAAGCAGACTGAATGTATTTAGAGATGGAATAGTATATTTTTGGCTTCTGGTCTTTTCAGGGAATTTGTTCACAGTAACAAAAAATCACAATGTCACCATGCTTCCATTTTAAAACATGTTTTCTGTTCAAAGCCAAATACTTATTCTACATTTGTAATTTTTTCCTCACTTTTACTTTGTGCTGTGTACTTTCATGTGTAGGAGATGAGTCCCAAATCCACAAGAATGGGCTGCTGGATATGAGCTTCCAGAGCCTGGTTCATCAGGAGGATACTTTTGGGGATGAAGATAGAGTATTTGACTTACTCGGTAATGGTTGTGAAATAAATATTTCAAGATTTTTGCCTAAAAATTATATTTAAGCCTTATTAGCTTCATGCAATGAAAATAAACAATCCTTGTATTTTTGACTTCCCTAACTGGAATTTAAAGTGGGCTTTAAACAATAATAATATTTTCAAAACAGTACAATGGATACATAATATTAACAAATATTGCAGAAGTCTGAACAAGAAAACTAGATTTATGGTTAATTGCTTAAATGTGTGCCATAATTGTATGTGCATAAACTTAAGTTCAAAAAGTGACCCATCTGAGACTTGGACACCAAAGTCACTTACAACTAAAACATAGAAAGTTTCCCTGTAACTTGCCCCAGTTTCCCAGAAGTGTTTTCAGTTTGTTGGCAAGCTTAAGAGCAATGTTCTGCTCCAGCTGTGAAATATTTGACCTCACGACTTGAATTAGTTTTCATAAATGCATCATTCGGTCCGGTCTCTGGGGGGCTCGACAGGCGCAAAAATTCAACACTGACTCAACATCCTACAAAGGACCAGTTTTCATGACAGACCCTTTTTTAGGGATTCAGCCTCTGGATTTTGACAAAAAGAATAAAAAAGTGTTTGACACACAGCAGGGTCTGATTGATCAGTAGCTCTTTATTTCCAGTAGTTGATTCATATAACAGAAAAATCTCCTTTCTTCTGCTCTAAAGCTAAGCCTAAATTATGTAAATGATCATTCTTTTGCTGCCTTTTTAATATCAAATATAACATGGATGAAGTTTTCATATTTAATGGGCCTGTAGATTTCCTGAGAAACCCCAGTGATCCTGAGTCCACCAACTTGATCCCAGAAGAGCCTCAAAATGAAAATCCAGAGATCCCTGCACTCAGTCGTCAACAAGGTACATTCAAGTCTGTTGTCTTTTACTCATCAAGAGAGGAAAATGTGCATTAAACCATACTCAAAAATGGCTCTTTTTGTTTTCAGATGCTCAGAAAATAGAGGTTGAGACCCCAACACTGAATGAGACCACCCTGCTGACTAATGCAGAGACAGCCTTTGCACTTGATCCTGTGGCCATCACTCGTACGATCAAACAACTTTCAAACTGTGTTCCTAACTGTCACAAATGTGCTCTATAATATAAAGACATTTGTGGAAATGTTGCTACTAGAGCTGAACTCACCCACTTAATACTACGGCTGTCATAATCCTTTATATAAATTGCCAAGAGAACCAACAATATTAAATGAAAGGATCGATCTGCAATAAAATCAAAATCTTGCTCTCACTTTTCAGCAAACTCATCGAGGAAGAGGGGGAAGAGGAAACGCAAGTTGGTGGTAGACCAGAGGAAAGAGCTGAAGAGTGAATTTATGAGAGCGCAGCTCACTGACTATTCAGATCTGGTCACCCCGCTGGACATGGCCCCGCCCACTCTGCCGCTCATGCAGTGGAAGGAGAACGGAGGAGCAGCAAAACTCTTAACACAGCCATGTTCCAGCATAGCAGCTCCACAGATAAAGGAGGTAGAAAGATCAACACATTGATGAATAGTTGGTTTAATCATAAAAAATTATATGTATATTAGAAAAGCATGGAGAAAATGTATGGCACAAATAAGAAACATGAATAATTAGTATTGCTCCTCGAAAGACTGACTTGGTGATAGTTCCTGAACAACTACAGCATGGTTTTGTTTCTACAGGGCAGAAACAACAGACTAACATTCACATGCAAAGTCACACTGAAGTAGGACTCAAGAGTTTTGATTATATGCTTAAACCCTGAGTTTAATTCCATGTCCCCAGTGCTTAACACTCTATAGCATCGACGTTATTTCTTTGGCACAGTGTGGATCTGCAGTGACAGGCTGCCTGAACGCTGCAGGGAGATTGTCTGTTTTAGTCACGTCCCACCAGGCAACACTTTCATGTGATGCTTTTGTCAATAATGTGTTAGAGGATTTTAAACTGTCATGCCAGACGTAAGTTGCAAATATCTTGAAACTTATGGCTGCACATTTAGTTTGGCTAACAATGCTAAACTGACCAGCATGGTCAGATCATAAACTATAACGGGTGTACTTCAAAAACATATTTAGTTAAACTAGGCTATTTTGGGTCACAGGGCAGAACTACAAAGCCAGATGCACACATGGTTTGAGGCCAATACATTATGCCATTACACCACTTATCAGAAGTGAGCATTTAAGTTATTGCATTTCTTATCATAATATATCATTTTCCTTCTCAGCTCTTTGCCAAGAGTGTATTCCAGGTGAAACGTTCCAGTGTGTGTGAGGAGGCTGAGGTCATGTGTCTGGATGGACAAGAATGTAGGAGCTTGCATGAAAATATCTCACTTTCAATGTACTTGATGTTCTATCTTCTGTTCTACCTGCTCATGTCTTTTGTCACAAAGCAATCTGCATTATTTCCTGGTACAGCTCAGAGGGACATCAGTGCCCTCACAGAAAGCATCAGTGCCGTAGATTCATCAATGGATCCTGAACAAGCACACAACACTGACCTGACGGTCCTTGCTCAAATGAGTGACAGCCACAGTGAGGGACACGCAGAGCATGCACAAGTAAGCATTAGCATGTCGGGTGAAGACACAGTATGTACACTAGATTGAAAAATATATATATATATATATATATATATATGCATGATGGATTTCTGTCTTCTATTTTTTTATCTGTGGTTTATAATCTTTGCCAGGATGAAAACATGTTCGAGTTCACTCAGCCAGAACTTCCATCAGAAGACTCCATGTTTGTCCATCCATCTTTGATGGAGCAGGATACTCAGACAACTTCTGTCCTCACTCAGGTGCTTGTGACACACACACACACACACACACACACACACACACACACACACACACACACACACACACACACACACACACACATATACAGTCACAAATAGAAACAGATCAGGGAATTATTCTCTGTTGGACTTCACATTTCATCCACCTCATCTTTGGAACGAAATTAAACTAATAGTGGATGTTTTATCTCCAGAATGGGTTGTACAGCGGGTGAGCTTCATTCTGTCATTGTTTGCCAGATGGACTGTATTAATTTCCCATGCTGCCTTGGAGATGTGCCCGGCATCACTGACTGAAATATTGTCCCTTTTCTAACCTCCAGTCTATGTTGGACAGCCAGGACTTTGAGGAGAGGAAGATAACCAAGCGTGTACAGAAGCTTCTCAGCACTCTCAAAGTAAGGAGCTAAAAATAAATGTTCAAGTGAAAGAGTCACACTAAAACCAACCAAATCATCTTCGATATATTTGGTTTAGGTTTTTAAAACCTGACTGTTGTCTGCATGTGAGGCAATGTCTCTGCTCTATTCCCGGCTCTATTGAATGGCGGATAAACATCTATACTCTCAGTGGACAGGGATTAAAAAAACAGGAGGGCTAGACAGGATTAGAGATGACGCTGGAGAAATGACATTTATATGTGTGTGTGTGTGTGTGTGTGTGTGTGTGTGTGGCAGAGCAACAGCGACACCACGTTCAGTCTGAAGGCACTCTGTGAAGGTGGAAGTCGCTGGAAAGCCGCAACTACTTTCTTCTGCCTCCTGGTCCTGAAGAAGCAAAATGCCCTTCACCTGCACCAGAGCGCACCGTATGAGGACATCTTTGCCACACATGGACCAAAGTTCTATGATTAGACGAAGATCATAGAAAATATTTCAGAAAACGACAACTTAGGTTGAGGGGCAGTTTTTGTTCTACTTGATCTGCCTCACTACAAGTAGCACATGTTTGTGTACCTCTGTCAGTTTGATTTGAATTCCCTTGAATAGAGTTATCTGTAAATAGTATAAATAACTTAAAAGGAACAATCTCAATTTTTATTAATGTCACACACATTGGTATGTTTTCTGTGTGTCTCTAAACTTGTTTGTTCTTGACACTTTTCATTTGTGAAAAATTCGGGGACGTATAAATGAAGGACTGTTGTCTAAACCTTGTTGTCAGACTGTTTTTAGTCTTTCCTGATGTTAAACAGTTGCTGATACTAGATTTGAGTTAAACAACTCTAAGCATTTTAAAACTACGTATAATTGTTGTTGCATAATGTTATTGTTAAGTTCTTTCAGGAGTTAAATTTCCTGTGTGTTCAGTTAGCGTTTTGTTCAACTTCCCCTTCTATTTATTGTTAACATTTTTACAACCAAAAAAAGTTTATTTAAAATTTACTTTTATCTAAGAGGGGACAGCTAGGCAGACATTTCATTATAAGAAAGTTTTAATACTGGTATTAATAACTTCTGTATTACAAAGTTGTTTTAAATGTCGACTTAAATATCTCGTACCTATTTGAAATCTAACCAACTGAATATAACTAGATTGTTTTTGTTACTTCAGTTTGGGATATGACAGTACAAGTGTTCTAGCGTTCTCGTGGTCTGAATATTCAGTAAACTGTTCTTACTTCAGTTAAAATGTTTGTCATCCATATTATTCTGTGTTCAGTGTAGGCCTTCTATTTTTATATCAGCACTTTATAAATGACAGTAGGTAATTGCACCTTACTCAGACTACATGCTGAAAAGGAAAGACTTGGAAGGAAGTCTGTGGCATTCCCATTTTCTACTTCTTGGAGTTCATTATGTGAAAAGTCTGACAATTGAAGAGTTTAAACCAGCCCATTGTTTTATTTTTCTATAAATGTCATTATTGCTTATGGCCTGTGTCGTTGTGGATTATATTAAAGCGTGTATGGTTTTATGTATTTTTATTTGAAATGAACAAAGTTTGCTCTTGCTGTTCCTCTGCACGATCATCCATCATATGAGATGTGAACATGGTGTACCAGTCCAGCTGGACCTCATCACTCCACCTCCTGTCAGTGATAGAATACAAAGAGCTCTCTAAACAGGATCTAACACAACCCCATCCATGTAAACACCGTCAATAAACGCTAATGTGCAGTTGAAGTCCTGCCACATGAACCATTATTGTAATCATTAGTATCCCCTACTGTCTCTTTAAGAAGCAGCGATGCAGCAGACGCAGTTGCCTCATTTCATCGCCGGGCTTCATGGCTGCAGGATGGACTCTCATCAGCACCATCATCAGCATCTCTTCCTCCTGCTGCCACCGGGGACTCTTCTTCATCCAGCAAGTGTGGCGGGAACAGAGGCTCTTCTGCGATGCACAACTTCCCCCCTGCTGAAATGGTAGCGTTTCATCCATCACTGTTATTGTAGGCTGTATCTGTGTTTTGCGCGCCTGTAGCTCCCGGTATTTGTTTTCAGATTCACGGAACCGGTGTTATCCTAGTTCAGTAACCGTATGTAGGACACAGCTGGGACTGAATGTGTTAGTCAGCTGTTTGTGAAGGAAGAAGCAACCCGGGCTGCGTCTTTCCTTATGGAAAGTACCTGCTGGATGTCCTGTTTGGGGACGCCTCTGCTTTGTACTCTGCTGGAAAAAAAACAAAACAATGATGCGACTTTTTTTTTTTTTTGTAGTTTTTTTTTCTGCTGTAATCACCAGCACACCAGATGCAGCCTGCTTATCTAACACTGCTTCACTGTAGGCGACAGATGTGTGAAATCCTGCGATGTAATACCACAATGATTATTCAAGGACAAAGCGTCACGTCCCCGCACAGTATGACAAGATATTTACTCTGAAAGATCCCACTGAATTTGTCATTTCGACGTCTATAGCTGCTTTAACACAGTTTCAACCTCCTCCAGTGTGCAGCTCGCCTCCACAGTAAACACCGATCCTCACACTTACGTAAGATGATTGCGTATTTCTCACCAATAACGTACTTGCCACTTGTTGCGCAGACTGAAGAGAGGGAGGTGAGATTTCCTGTCTCTGTCTCATTGTCCTAGAATTTATATATAGGACTTACTGATATTCGTTTAGACTGATTTTCATAATCAGCACAGTAGTAGAGGTCTGATGATGTGTCTGCAGCCTCCTCAGAGATTTATCCAGGAGCTGCAGGTACATTTTAGGACAGATCAGCAGGTTCCCACCAGAGCTGCAGGAAGCAAGGATATCTTAGAAGAAGGATGGGAACAATTTGTCCTTTTTAATGTTTTGCTGGGAAATAGAAGTGTGCTGGGTTGTGTAACAGAGTCACCTGGTTTTTTAGAAAATCTTTCTCTCTTGAGCAGCGCAGAGCACCTCCATTGAGGTCACCGAGTTCATGTCCTCCTTTTTTAGCCGGATTTATTTTCTAAAGTAAAGACTCCTTTAAAAGCAGTTGATATTTTACACACATTTTCCAGCATTAAGACTTTGATTTGTTACTTTTTACATCAACAAAATATAAATAATTAAATGTTAAGGGTTGGCTATCTAAAAAATGTTCTGACCATTTTCTCTTTTAAAAACATGTAAAAAATCTCTCCAACCCCAGTTAGACAAGATATCGTCAAAAAATCAAAGTCCAGATTTTAAAACAATAAATATATAGGGAAATATCTGGAGGAATAATTATTAAATAAATAAAAATAAATGTTTTCTATAAAGCATTCAAAACTCCAATGTGGTTACAGTTTGGGTAACAAGCTGTAAAGTACAGGGTGATTTTTTTCATCATTTTATTCCAGATAGTTTGAAAAAGGCATATCTGTGAGGTTATTTTGTTGAGAAAATAACACACTATAGAAATGACCAGTTAACCTCATCCATCACAGGTTCAACTCCTGACCCTCATGTCTACCCCACTCTCTCCACCCCACATGTCCTGTCTCTCTTTAGCTGTCCTATCAACAAAAGGCACAGACGCCCCAAAATAATGAATAAATAAAATGATAATAGTCTGGACATAAAACTCATGGCTTTAGTAGTCCTAAAATCCTCTACAGCGCTCCCTCTAAGGAGTTACACAATGTCCCAAAAACAGTCCTAAGACTTCTTAAATTGACTCTGGGTAGGAAATGATCACATCTGACTACAGGTATCAGCCACCACATGTCACATGTCTTAGCGTCTGTCCTTTGCCCTCAGTGTATGTGACAGTTTATCATGTTTTTCTGCAGCTCTGCAGACAGAGGACACAGCTCAGAGTGGCAGCTGCACTGACTGTGAACTCACTGTGTCCCCTTTGTGTCAGCACAGAAAGGAGGCTTTATATGCTGCTGGCCTAGACTTTTTTATTAATTAGAGTTTGACTATTGTCACTGACTTCCAGTAAAGAAGCACATAATGAGGAGGAGCAGTGTGCAACAAATTGGTAGGGAAAACCTTGCTTTAATGAAAAGTTGGGATTCATTTATTGTGTCATTTGTAATATTTTTGTTGTAGATTATTTTTGAGCAGATCTGCTGACTCCCCTCTGAAATGTTTATGTGACGGATTGTTACAGTCCAGTTGTGAGGGTTCCTAGCGACCCTCTGTAGAGACAGCAGTGGACAGGTTGGAGGTCCCTCGCACATCAATGTCTCTCACTCCGAGTCGAAAGCCCAGCTCCTCAGGTCAGCGCAGGTACTGTTGCTTTCTTCTTACCACTTCATTTTAAGCATTTATAATGCAAACTATATTTGATAAGTGTCGTCTAAACAGTGTATTTTGTATCTCTTCCTTCAAAGGCGTTCAGTGGAGACCAATGTAGGCAGTGGGCGGTGTTCCCACAGTGACTCATCCAGCACTCACACCTACCCTGGTCGAGTTAGGACAGCAGATGGCAGTCCCACAGCCCGGACGTATCCAAGTACACCCAGGTAACATTAGCATAAAACACTCCACTTATTTCCTCCTTCATAAAACCTAAAGCAATTGCAGTGAGGAGGAGGAGGAGGTGGACAGGCTATAACATTAAGTATGAACACGACTGAGTGAACAGTGTTAGCCATGTGATAGAGACTGTGACCTCTCCCTGGGCGTTAAAGCTGGGCCGACTCCAGCAGCTTGTCTGCTTGTCTCATCCACTCCCACTGACTGTATAAGTTAGGATGGATAAAATTAGACACATTTTTCAGTCTCATGCAATCCATTTAAACAACACCACAGCATACAGCCTAGTGGTTGGCTTGTGCAGCCCCATGTGCAGAGACTATGGTCCTCAGGACAGACGTCCCAGGTTCTAATCTGACCTGTTTCTACTTTGTCACATTTCACTTCCTTCTCTCTCTCTCTCTCTCTCTCTCTCTCTCTCTCTCTGATTTCTGACTCTATCCACTTTTCTATCTCTCAGTAAAAGGCAAAACATTCACAAAATGTAATCTTTTTAAAAAAGAGTATAAATCCAGCATGTTTTTGTGTTTGGAATGAAATCGGAATCTGTCTGGTTTACATTTACTTCTTTAATACCCGTTCATACCTGTGTGTTCCTTCAGGCGTCAGGCAAAGCACACAGCGTGCAGCGACAACCATGGGATCAGGACTCCAACCCCGGAGCAGTACCTCACTCCTCTGCAGCAGAAGGAGGTGTGTATACGACATCTACGAGCCAGGCTGAGGGACAACGTGGAGAGACTGCAAACCAGGTGAGTCCTTCTAACCGTCCGGCTCTGGTTTTGGAAAGCTTTGCCAGGTTGTGCTGTAAAAGGTGAATCATGTTTATTTATTTTACCTAAAGTGATGGCGGTATCCTTAAATAACAAGTTTGATCTACGTAGGAGGAGTCCTATTTGCTTCCATGCTTTAATGATGTAATTGACTTTTCTTTTATTCCTTACCAGAGACTGTGAAATAGACGACTTGAGGACACAGCTGTACAGGATGCAGGAGGACTGGATTGAGGAGGAGTGTCACCGGGTGGAGGCCCAGTTGGCCCTTAAAGAGGCTCGCAAGGAGATCCAGCATCTTCATGAGGTGATGGAGTCAGTGCGGTCCAACATAGGTGTCCGTGAACAAGACCCGCATGATCCTAAGCCTTACTCAGGTTTGCACGGAGCTCGGCCGGGGGGAAGGTCTCGCTCCTGTGGGTGTTCCCCCGCCAGCACATTGAGCCGCAGCACCACCCACACCCGCATGAGCAGTGAGGCTCTGCAGTTGGAGCGCAGCCCAAATGCTCCTGAGTCCAGCCGGGTGTCTCGCCCAGCAGGACAGACACACCTGCTCCTGGAAGCGGCTCTCCTGTCAGAGCCGCTTCCACAGCAGAGTCACATCCGGGCCCCCCCTACTGTGCCGCGCTCTGCCACTTTCGAAAGACTCTGCAGCGGGGGGGCCATGTTACCAATCTCGCACTCCTGCCACTCTCTCAGTAGCAGCTGCAAGTGCAGCGGCCACTCCTACCTGCCCCATCACCACCTGTTCCTGCACTTACCTCAGGAGGAGCCCCCACAACAGCTGCAGCCACTGCTACGCCTGTTTCTGATCCCATCCCCACTCCGAGTCCGGCAGCAGAGAGGAAACCGGAGGTGCGTTCTCAGGCCTGCAGCCCCACCATGACCTGGCTGTGTGAGG